CAGGCAAGGGTTAATAGGATCATTGACCAAATGTATCGGGTCAAACACATTGATGACATAACTAAGAAATGGCTATCACAAACTCCCAATCCACCTAGAATACTAATATTATATACGCTCACGAAAATACACAAACCTTTACCGATCGGTAAACTAACATAAACATAAACTAACTCTTCGAAAAAAACATTTGAAGAGGGCCTTTTAAAATTTAAACAAAGCCTCAAAGCAAGAGGGTACGTAGAAAACATCATAGAAAGGTCTCTGTCAGGGGTCAACTTTGCTTCTAGACAATTGGCTCTTGTACATACTTTTACACAAGCCAAAAGGTCATGAACGTTTATTCCCTTTTGCCAGAACGCACCATCTAGAAGTTAAAAATTTAAATAAATAGTGATGGAGCATTGGAGTCTGATACATAATCAGCCCCTGATGAAAACAATTATTTCAAAACCTCCAATAATCTCTTACATAAGGGAAATTCCCCTAAAGACGCGCTTGTAAGAGCTAAAATATAATTTGAAGGCGATAATGTGACGCGACAACAAAAGCCACATGGGGAATCCGTACCGGTTGTCCCTTACTAGATTCCAAGAAAGTAAGCAAGATTTGATTTGTTCATCTTTGCCCATAGTGGCCAAGGCAATTAGCAGCTTAGCGCGAAAGCGCTAGCTGCAAATAACGTCGCCAAAGGGGAGGCGGCTGGTTCAAATATTCCTTACAACTTACCGCTTGGATATCTTCTTCGAAATGCCCGAAATCTAAGCAGCGGGATCATAAATCCGTATTAAGTAATAGGCTTCCAAAAAGCAGAGCTGTCAGAATAGGCCAGTTAACAGTTGTGTACTTAGTTGCCAAGCCTTTGATTTGGAGTTAGGCTGAAGGTGAACATGGTCACAACTTACAACACACTTTAATCAATACTCACCTCACCTTAATATATTTCACAACATTAATATTCATAATTCACACACAGTCGTGCTGATCTATTCCCATGATGAACTCATTCTTAAAGATACAATACTACAATACAACACAATACAATAAGAGTTTATTGTGAAATACACTTAGCTACAATAATGGCGTGCTTTCACAGACGGAACCGAAATCGGGGTCTGTGAAAGCACGCCAGCTAATTTATAGGCATTCCACAAACACAATAAAGTTAAAAAAAAAAAAAAAGAGTATTCTATAATTTAAAATTATAACAATAAAATCTTAATAAGTATATCTTATATCTAAATAAATATTAAATTCATTAAAAAAGCGTCGAGATTATAAAAATTGCACTAGGTCAACTTGGCTAATGGATCTCTTAAAAGACTTAAAATTCGTTATATTTCTAAACATGTTCGGAATAGAATTCCAGAGTTTCGGACCAAAATAATGGACTGAGTTCAAGCCATATGTAGTAGACTTTGGCTTGGGTAGCGAGAGGATAT